TTCTTTATATGTCTTCTAGCCCAAAGTGGACTTTTCAAAGAATTATTTTATTTAACTTTATTTATCTATTTATTTTCATTTGACCAGAGAGGAACAGAGTGAGAGAGAGTGAGAGAGAGAAAAGGAGAAAGCAAGCTACTAGGTCCAGAAATCTAACCACAGCCAGCCACGTGGGAGTCCAGCACCCCCATCCTACACGTCATCTGCTGGCCTCACAAAAAGTTTTCTGAAAAGATTTTTTTCTCTTTATAAGTTCTACCCCAATTTCTTTCTTTTTTTTTTTTTTTTTTTTTTTTAACCTCAATTTCTTTTTCATGTGCAGGGCTGAAGGTGGAATTGTAATGCTTCCCAAAGCCTCTTTTCCAGTTTCTCTGTTCTTTAGCCCCTAATTCTAGCCGAGGCCCCTCGCATTCATATTTATCATTTCCTTCCTCGCTCTTTTCTCCTGTAGAAAGGTGTGACTGCTACTCGAAAGGTTAGAATTTTCTTTTTTAAACTACATAGTGAAGATACTTCTCTCTTTTTTTCTTTTTTCCTTTTCTAGGTTTTGTTTTTGGCCATAGGACATATGCACTCATGGGAGAGCCAGTGAGAGGGAAAATGAGAAGTCACCCCTTGGAGGGATGGCCATGCCACAACCCTTCTCCCTTCTCTCCTGGGATTTCGGGCATGCACACACACACATGCCTGGCGTGATTTTCAAGCCACCAGGTTCAGGACTGTGGTCGGCCATGTGGGAGTCCAGCACCTTAACCACCACGCCACCTGCAGGCTCCAGTACATCGCTCGTTTAGAGCCCTTGGGGTTGTTAGATGTAGTGATACTTAGTCGTTCCTTGGGTAAGACTAAATGTCTCCTTGAGAATTTTACCCTCCACACGAAACATCATGGCTCTTACAAGACAAAAGAGAAAAATTCCTTTTTTATCATTTCCGTTTAAAATGTACATTTCTAGTAGTAGCTTCTGTGTTTTCTTGGGCAAGAGTCACATGACTTTGTAGCCATCTGATTTGCCCTGTCTACAACTCAGGCATGGCAATGCATTTCCCACTGTACAGGCAGAAATGACGTAATGTAGGAAATCACTCTTGTGTCCAGAACTTGTAAGAATACTTTCAGACTGTGCAAAGGTGCTTATTTTCCTAAACAATGATTTCTCCTTGTGAAATCGAGTTTTTCATTGGGAAAAGCCAGTGAGCTCCCAGTTTGACTGGGAGGACGGGCTGGTGCCCACCTGGTGGGAAATCCTTCTTATACCCTCTGGTGGTGAGAACGAATGATTGCACCTTCCGACGAATTTCCACCTGGAACCCACCGCTCTATCAATTGCAGTGTACTTGTCTTTGTTCTTCATACCGTTTGATAATTCGCTGCTGTTTGCTTCTCAGGATTGTGAAAAACCAGGAGTTTCTTGCCTAACCATGCACTGTAACCTTAGTGCTCTTGCTAAAGAAGAAAGTCGCACTATAGACATTTACCTGCTGCTGAACACAGAGATATTAAAGAAGGTAAGTCCTAAGGAACTGCATTCGCTCTTGAGGATCATGTTAAAAGATGTGAGTCGAGACCAGCAGATGGCGTAGTGGTTACGTCGCTAGACTTCCACGTAGTCAACCGTGGTTCAAGTCTCAGACCCGATGGCTTAAAACTCACGTCGGGCACATGTGCGTGCGTGCCCAAAATCCCAAGAGGAGAATGGAGGAGAAGGGATTGCGGTGTGGTCATCCCCCCTGGGGGATGATTTCTCACTTTCTGTTTCTTTGTCTCTCTGGTGAGTACATGCGCCCTATAGCAAAAATGACTCAAAAAGAAGAAAAAAAAAAAAAAAAAGAAAGGTTTGAATTGGTTTTCTCATAACACCCTGGCTGCCCCTTCAGAAACTTGTCTGGGAACTGCCAGGTGATGTGGTGGTTAAGAGCGCTGGACTTCCATGTGATCAACCACAGTTCAAGTCCCAGACCTGGCGACTTGCTTTCTCACTTTCTCTCTCTCTCCCTGTTTCCTGTTTCTCTCGAATCAATTTAAAAATACTACTACTAATAATAATAAAAAATAACAGTTAAATAAAACAATTTGAAAATAAATAAAACACTTGTCTGGCCATTGGTAATCCTGCTGCTATAGACAGTACCAGGGGAAAGCGCCAGTCGCTAGCTATACCAAGTGTGGTCCGAGAACCAGCAGGACCACTGTCACCTGGGAGTTTGTTAGAAATGGGGAATCTTGGGCTACCCCGTAGCCTAGTGATGAAGGGAGCTAGCTCCCACATGGCCAACCCTGGTTCAGATCGAAGCCCTGACAACTTGAAAAACACGCCAGGTGTTCCTGTGAATGTGCTCAAAATGCAGACAGAATAGAGAGGTGGAGGAGAAGTGATTACAGTGTTACCACTCCCCACTGGGGGGCTTTCTCCCTCTCCCTCCCTCTCTGGCAAGTACATGCACCCTCTGGCAATTAAAAAGAAAAGAAAAAGAAGGGAAGGGGAAAAAAAATGCAGAATCTTGTGGTGAAGACGTACTGAATTAGCATCTTCTTTTTAACTAGCTCCCAAGTATTTCATTTGCACATTTAAGTTTCTCACCTTCAGTTTTCATCAGAATCACCTGGAAACCTTCTTAAAATACAAATTCCTGGGGACCAGCAGGTGGTGTGGTGGTTAAGGCACTGAGCACTCCCACATGGCTGACCACAGTTCAAATCCTGGACCTGGGAGCTCGCTCTCTTTCTCTCTCTCTCTCTCTCTCTCTCTCTCTCTCTCTCTCTCTCTCGTCAAATGAAAATAAAATGAATGAATAAATTGAAAATTAAATAAATTTTTAAAAAATTACAAATTCCTGAGAGGTAGAGTCTAAGGTTCTGCAGTTCTGTTAAATTCCTATTCATGGATGATACCAGCACTGCTGGTCTGGGGACTGCATTTTAGATGAAGGGTTGGCAAACCTTTTCTATGAAGGGCCAGTAGAAAATATTTTAGGCTTTCTAAAACATACAGCCTCTTCCAACTGCTCAATTATCTAAAGAATGAATGGTATCGGCAAAAATAACCAACTCTGCGCAAATAAAAATGCAGTTTATTTCTAAGCATAAATTCAAGTGACCTAGGCCCGGAGAGGAGGCAAAACATGCCTTTCTCGGGGTGATCTGGTACAAGGGTTCCTTTATTTTGATGTTGAGAATGAGAGACAGAGTTTGGAATTTAGTGAAGAGTTTTTCCACTGGTCTGGCCCAAAGAGGTGGGACATGGTGGAAGTGGGGGCTGGTAGGTTACAGTGGGTTTACAGATTTTTAGGTTGGTGACGGAAAAAGAAAGGTTGCTGAAATCAGAAAGGAGTGTAGTTTAGCAGAGAGAAGGAGGCTTAGTATACATCACACAGATCCTATGCCAGGGACAGGAGGTAGCAAGAGTCCTGGGTCAAAACGGTCTGTTAATGTTCGTGGGCGTGGCTCCCTCCAGGCCCTCTGGAAAGAATTTTGGAACTAGGAAAAAACAGTCAAACTTCTGTCCTCAATGTACATGGCTCTGTTCCAATAAAACTTTATTTACCAAAAAAAAAAAAAAAAAAAAGGCAGAAGTTGAGTTTGGCCTTGAGCCCTAGTTTGCACCTTGTTCCCGAGAAGTACAATTTTCGAAACTCCGGTCACTTTGCTATTATAAGTTCATCATACGTGGTCCTTAAAGTACCTCAGTCAGATCATCGGTGACCCTTGGAGAATCATACAGATTTGCTATGATTTATTTTAAGATAACCTCTGCTGAATTCAGGAAGACCACGTCTAACCGGATGCTGTAAAAATAATTGCATATGAAGGTATTGGGTTGTCAGAAAAGTCATGACATATTTATCTATGCAAAAATGCATCATGGCTTTTCAACAACCCAATAGAGCAAAAGAGGCAGGCCCTGTAGCATGGTAGTTGAGCACTGTGCCTGGGGAGCCAGAGTCTATGTGGCCACCTGAATTATGAATCCAGCTCTGGTGGCTTGATAAATACACCAGGCATATGCAGTGTGTCCTGGATGGGAGATCGCATTTTGTGTGCTGTGATGATGCTTAGGGAAGGAATGTAAATTGAGTTACAAAAAAAAAGTTTCAGGAAAAAAAAATATATATATATTCAATGACTGCAATAGGATATGTAGCCCCAGCTAGGTGCTACTTTATAGGCTGCGTAAAGTTAGACTTGTGCTCATGGAAATGTGTGTGTCCCCTGTGTTTGCTAGGAGGGTATTTGGATTGATTAGGGTCTTTGGTGATTCAATAAAATGTGGGTGGGGAAACAGTATAGAAAGCAAACATAGATACCAGAGACAGTGTGGGAGGAGAGTGGGAGATGACAGAGGGTAAGAGATAGGGAATCAAGGATGGGGGGGGGGAGCAAAACATACAGGAAACAAGAAATGGAAGATCATTTGCTGACAATAACATGTTTGTTGATGTGCTTGATTGAGACAATATACAGTGTACTCTGGATGGAAAATCTCGTTTTGTATGCTGTAATGATGTACAGTGAATGAATGCAAATAAATAAATTGAAATAAATAAATAAATAAATCATTAAAAAATAAAAAAAATACACCAGGCACACGTGCATGTACGCCCCAAATCCCAACAGAGGGAGAAGTGGAGGAACACGGATTGCAGTATGACCACACCCCATTGGGAGGATTCTCTCTCTCTCTCTCTCGCTCACACACTCACCCTCTAGCAATTAAAAAAAAAAATAGATAGAACTACACATTAGCTACAGAGCGTCTATTTATTTTCCTTTGGAAAGACTAAATGTGTTCCTCTGTATAAACCCATCAATGTGGGAATGAATATCTATAGAAAAGTTATTCTGTGGATATTTTTAAAGGCCTGGTGATGTGGCCGGACACAGGTTCTTCTCCACAGCTCACAAAGAATTAGAGATGCAGACACAAAGAGGGGATAGCAAAGCAGAGTTTATTGGAGAAGGAAGGGAGAGCTGAGCTCCTAAGCAAGGAGTGGTTTTGGAAAATGGGTTGCCCAGGAGGTACTGAGGCAGAGAGTTTTCATCTTGGTTAGGAGGGGCACTGTCCAGGCTTGTTCTCTTGCCAGGCCTTCCCCTTGTGGTGAGGGCTCACATGCTAGATAGATGTGGCTATTCCTCTTCATTTTGGAGTGGGTATGAAGGTCAGGAGATTGTTTAGAAGCTTTGGGCCATAAAACCATTGTCATCTTCCCAGAATGTGGTGTGGCATGGGCAAAAAGCCTTTGTGTTCCAGGTCTTGCTGCCTCGATTAATCATTAAGCTATTGCATGCCGTCTCTCCTGAGCAAACAGCTGAGCCGTTGCGTCTCCATCTTAAAACTTAGGCATCTTGTGATTCGGTTTTGGCATTTTACCTTAACTATATTTTTAGGATCCCTCTCCCCTGCCTCACCACCAATAATAGCGGTTTTGCTATGTTTAATTCCATAGCAGTGGACGTTTTGCCATTTTGTCTGTCTGTGTCACAGCCCCCACGCATCTGGGACGCACCGTGCCAGCTCTGGGGCCCTGCTTTGAGACACATTGTGTCCATAAATTGTGCTTCCTTATGTGTCTCTCCCTTCATAAAGGACAGTATAGAGGAGGGACAGGCCTGGATGACAGCACTGCTGGCCACTCTGATTCCAGAGGGAGGCTGGAAGCCTCGTGTCACAGCAGGTACCTTGCTGGCCTGGGCTCCCAGGTCAGGTTGGAGGGACTGGGATTCTGGTACTGGCCTAACCTCTTCATCTGACAAATGGCGCTGTCAGTGCTACCCTGGCCACTGTCAGCAGAGCCCTGATGGTGGGGCCGATGGCGGGGAGCCAGTCTGACGTCTCCCTCACCTTCACCCTGACAGCTGCTGCTTGCACTGCGGTCACTTGCACTTCCTTTAACTGTGTGCAGCTCTGCAGCCTGGTTTTCTGCATCTCCCTCCATGATAGTGGTGACCCTTTGCCAAGGGACCTGTCCCATTGACTGATGCCCTCATAAGCCAGCCAGGCCAGTGAAGCTCCAAGCAAGAGAGTTGAAAGCTGTGGACTGTGACGTGGCGCCTTGAAGATCTCCGAGTGCCCTTTCAGAAGGAGCCAGCAGAAACCCCAGGTGCAGCCAAAAGCCGACAGTGACGCTGACCTGGAAGCAAGATGGGGCCCCAGCTGCCGCTGGAGCTTGAAACACAGCGTGTCAGTCCCCAAAACCAGCCACAGCCTCCCTCAGGGAGGGAGCCTGGGATGGCTCCAGGAACTCCTCGGGCCTCCCTAAGGGTGTGGAGAAGCGCCAGCCCTGAGGTCTGCCTAGGCCTCTAGTGGTATTTATTTTCCTGTTGACCTCAAGGTCTGGCCCCAGGCAAGGGAATTTGAGGTTTTATTATTTTGACCTTAACAAGTTTTCATTTGAAATGTAGGATCTGATTTGTAAAACCACCAGAGGAATCAGAGTTCTTTGCAAGTGTTCTTCCCGTCCACAAGGCTTTCTTCACCGACTGGACAACCACCGGAGGTCCAGTCCCGAGGGGCTTGACCTTTAACTTTGGGAAGTGGCATCATCGTTGTTGTCATTATTATTACCGTTAATATCCAAGGTGAGGATGACGATGATCACTCAAAATTAAGGCAGTTTATCCGGACACACAAAGCCACAAAATGATAAAACTATTAAATTGGGAAAAGGTTATTTGCATACAAGATTAGTCGCTGCTTAAAGTGAGTTAACTGGAGCCATTACTTTGAATGACAAGCTTCCCAAAAGCATTGAATATATATGTTCCAGGTGTGGGACCAGCAGATGACCTAATGTTTATGCCACTGGACTCTCATGTAGTTGACCACAGTTCAAGTCCTGCACCCAGTGGCTTAAAACTCACATGGAGCACATATGCATGTGTGCCCAAATTCCCAAGAAGAGAATGGAGGAGTAGGTATTGGGGCATGGCCATTTCCCCTGGGGGGTGATTTCTTGCTTTCTGTCTCTCTGACTCTCCAGCGAGCATACACTCCCTATAGCAAAAATCTCTTTATAAATAAAATACATTTTGGAGACCAGGAGGTGGTTAAGGCACTAAATTCCCACATAGCCAACTGTGGTTCCAATCCTAGACCTGGCAGCTTGCTTTCTCACTTTCCCTCTATCTTTGTCTCTCTCTGGTCAGTGTACATGCCCTATAGCAAATAAAAAGATAATAATAAATAAAATTAAATCATTCTTTTTTAAAAAATAAAATATGTTTTATAGTTGTTCGCAAAAAGATGACTTGTGTAGTTCCTTAGGTCATGTTTGCAAAGTGGGGTCCTTGTGTGTCACTTCAGAAAAGTCATTGTGGTTTTTTTTGTTTCCTGGTTTATTTATTTTTTTTAATATATGATTAGAAATGGGTTAGCCAGTGGCATGGTAGTGAAAGTGGTTGGATCCCCCTTGACCAGTTGCACAGTTTGAGTTCCAGATCCAGCAAGTTGAAAAAACACTCCGGGCACATGTGTGCACATGCCCGAACTATGGAGAGGAGAATGGAGAAGGGATTGTGTCATGGCCATCTCCCCTCGGGGTGCTTTCTCACGCTCACTCGCTCGCTTGCTCACTCATACACCCTATGGCAAATTTAAAGGGGGAGAGATGAACAAAGGCCCCCTTAGAACTGTTTTCTATAGGCAGAGTCCTCCCCATTCCTGTTTCTTTGTAGGTCTAGCCAGATGGGGTTGAAGCTGGCATGTGCACATGCACCTCCGAGCTGAGTAAATGGGGACAGGTATGCTCTAGGCCCCAGCCACCCTGAAGATGCAGGGCCGAGCACGCCAGTTGTCAGCCCTGTTTCCACGGGAGCCGGGCCTCTCTGCCGCGGGATCCGAGCAGCAGCATCTGTACTGATGGCTCATGGCGCGGGCTCATCTCTCGACCATGATGCCGCCAGTTCCTGTATTTCTCAATTCCTTCTCCACTGCTGTTTTGGAGCCATCTTCTCGTTATCTGAATTAGTGGCTTGGAATCTGAGCCACTCACTTTGAAAAGTACACATTTTTAAGTTCATTTCTTTCTTCCAAGAG